AACTTGCATCGCTCGAAAACCCCAAAAAGCACAAAAATCGCATACCTTCTATGCCGGAGTGGAAGATCCCGAATCCAACCCAGTAAAGGTAGTTGTTCACAGGCGTGAGATCGTAGACATTGAGGTACAAAAGGGCGCGATTTTTTTCCCGATCGATGAGCTCCTTGTCTGCGCTGGAGGTCGAGCCCGGGCTTGAGCTCAAAGGAAACAACCGCATGGTATATTGAATCGCTCGCAAACCCTAATCGCCTCAATTGGGTTAAGTTATCACAATCTGATCATCGCGCTCGCCGATCGAAACAAACCTCGGCGAAGTGAAGATGGCTACAAAGTTATTCCGCTGTTTGGATGCCGAGAAACGGGAGCAATTCATTCTTTTTAAGGATACTAATAATACACTTGAAAACTTTGAGTTTTAATGATAAGGACAAAATAAAGGGTAGCGTGAATAGTATCATGATGTGATTTTTAAAAAACAAAAAAATTGTTATTATCGGGCTATGAGAATAAATAGTCCTAAAATAAAATTGTTGAGTGTTTGGTAAAAAAAAATTGTAAATTGTTGAGTATTTGGTAAAAAAAAACACAATTGTAAAAGTTCTTTTAACAAAAAAAAAAAAAAAAAACCACATATAAGTATTTGGTAAACTTTTATATAAATTGTTATAAATATGTCACTTAGTACTACGGTCTAGTGATATTTCTCTGCACTTGTAAGTGAGAGGTCTTAGGTTCGATTCTCGCCAAAGACGAATTTGAATCACATTATTATTAACCTATTGTGAGGCACATTATCGTCTACGCTTGCGTGAATCGCAAGGTGTGTTTGAAGATTTGGGTGAATTGGATTAATATTATTGCTTGTGTGCTAATTAAGAGGGTAAGGTTAGGGTAAGGTTAAAGTCTAGAAAGGATTATTAGGGTTTGGTTAACGAAGTTTGAGTTCGTCAAGGGATTAGATACTTTGGGGAAAATGGTTAATTGGAGTTCGTGTGAGTGGCATGTGCAGCTTGGGAGAGTTTTTAAGTCTCTGCATCCTCCTCAAGTAGGCTGTGTAAGATGGTTTCGTGTTTTTCACTTGTTTTGTGGTGTTACGAGGAGTTGTTTCGTAGCTAATATGTTGATTGATTACTTGTGGCTTGATGATTGGGTGAATTTAGATTTATTTGATTGTGTTTGTATTTGTTTAATTTTCTGTTGCTAGGACGATTTGACTAACCTAGATTTAGAGCTTAGGATTATGACGTTTAGGGTTTTGGCATGCCTCGGTAATTATTGCATGACATCGATGTTGATCTGGGGTTGGTGTAATAACTGGTTGTGTTATTCTATACGGAGACGTTTGAGCTCCCATTTAGTGATAGTCTGTTTCTCTAGGTGGGTTCTGTTCACGCGTGCTAGTTTTGTATTTGCCTTGAGGTTGAGGGCTAGATCTATAGCCATTAACTTTGTGAGTTTTATAATTATTATTTTTGCGCTTCCTTGTTTGGATCACTTGATAATGATTATTTTCATTCTGCTAGTGTGTTTTGATGGTTGGATTCCCCCAAGGTTTGGCTATTTATACATGCTTTGGTCATGCTTTTGGTCCTCACCTGCTTCCCTACCTTTTATTTTCTTACCTTCTACCTTCAACATGTCTAACTTTCACCTGTCTAGCGCTAACTCTAGCGTGACCCGTAGGCATAGGATTTGTTCTAATTCCTATGTTCCTAGTTGGGAGAACTCATTCCCGGTCCTTTAACTTGGGCAAGAATCAGTGATGGTGGAAAGGGCTAGGGGTACTTTCACCATGGAGAGATGAGTGACTAGGGTGAACATTAACTTGTGCTCTACAATCAATGTTAAGCATATGCAGTATAGAGTTTTAATGGGGAAGATTTTTGGGTAGCCACTCGATGTGAGATTGATTAAGTGGAAGCTAGGCCAGCTGTGGAGAAATAAAGTCAAGAATATTTTTTACCTTGATCACTTGGGTAGAATATGGTTCGCAGTGGAGTTTATGGATGAAGGAGGATTTGGAGTTTATTATGAGGAATAGACCCTGGTATGTTAGGGGTCAAATATTCCATTTGGAAAGGTGGACCACTGGCTTTAAGGATTCAGACATCATTACCAAGCTTGTTGTTTAGGCCAGGCTACCTAGGGTTCCAATCCAATATAAGGAGGATAATATAATAAAGGATATTACTTACTCGTTAAGGAACTTGTTGAGGGTGGATGAAGTGACTTTGGGTTTAAATGGCTTGTGTATCAAGGTTCTACTGGAAGTGGATCTGAGGTTTCCGTTGAAGTTTCCGTTGAAGCGTGTGCTTATTGTTAACGAGGATGAGGATTGCCCCATTCTTGTAAGCTATGAAAAACTCTTTGAGGTTTGTTTTTATTATAGGAGAATGAGGTATGAAGGTCATGTCTACCCCAAGGTATAGACTGATGATGGCTCTTTCATGATTGACAAGGTGTATGAAGATGAACCTTGAATGTTCTCTGAAGATACGGTGGTGGATGTGAATGTTAAAGCTAATCTGCAAAATGACGTGATGTTATGTTTCCCTTGTGCTGCTTTGGTTGAAGAGGAATCCACTGAGATTGAGGAGATGGGACAACGTGTGAAGGATAATGGTCCTGATGAAGATGGTTGGACCATTGTTACGCCAAAGTGGAGAAGGAAAGCTGAGAAGATATGGGTTTGAGAGAGTTCAAGGGATGACAAATCATATAAGGAGGTGGTGTTTGGTATAAAGGAATATCCAATAAGGACGTTTCCTGGCCACCGAGCACATAGCTCCCCAAGAGGTTGGCACCGGTTGATATCGTCTGTCGAGCTTCTGCTTATTGGCGGGTTGTAAGAGAGGAACATAGTTAATTCTGAAAGGTGCCTTTGTGGGGCCTTAGGTGTAGGCCTTGAGGCTCACAATCAAAATTAACTTTAAGTACCCAGGCGTGCCACTGCCATCTTTAACATGACAGATGTAAAACCGATGTTAAGTTTATTGTATATATATATATATATGTATGCCCGAGAGACCCAGTTAGTTATGAAAGGTGCCTTTGTGGGGCCTTAGGTGTAGGCTTTGAGGCTTCCCGCCAAAACTAACCGAATACTTGAACACATTTTGGTTGTTTCATTGTTGTAGAAGTATTACACCTGTTATACTTTTAATTGCCCGAGCTCGCAGAGCAGAATGAATTCAAATAGGTGCCTTTGTCAGGCCTTAGGTATAGGCCTTGAGGCTTCCTATCAGAGTTAATTCTATACTCAAGCGTTCTATGGGAATTATGATATAACAGAAGTAAGATTAGAGAATAAGCCAATTACTTGCGCCCCAAGTAACTTCAGACTTCTTGTTATCACGGATTGTCGTGGATGGATTAAGTCCACATAAAGTTCTTTTTATGCCTTGAAACCAAGGACTTTTAATTGATCAATCTTGTCTGCCCGAATGGTTGGAACTTAGAAATCTTTTAATCATAAACTAGCTAGCAATAACTTGGATGCAGATGGAAACATACATCATATTACTAGATATATGAATGAAAGACAAAAACAAATGAGGTCGGGCAAGGTTTCACCTTGTCGGGCAAGGCTGATCGTCTTGCAACTTCCTCTCTTTGTGATTTACAAAGTGGTCGAATGTTAAAGGGGAGATTGGAAGGTGAGTTTATATGAGGAAATTGATACTACAGCAAGATTTAAACAAGGTAGCATAACTTTTACAAACGATTTCTGGTGAAGGTTGATCCCGAACGAGATGAAGGCGGGGGGCTGACTCCAGCTTCGTGAAGGCAAATCTAGTTTGAACAGAGTGTGTGCTTGTATTTGTTTGTTTGATTGAGTGTCTTTATCTCTGATTTTTCTTCCTCCTTTTATAAACGATTTGGCTTAGCTGCCTGCAGTGTTGATTCTGCCTGAATGCATCTGAAGGGCAGTGACTCATCAACTATTTACTTGTACTGCCATTGTAAAGTACTTTTGGGCTGATTAGCTGGCTGGCCTACACCACTTGACCTCTAGGTAGGTGAGCAGGTGGTTTGAATGATCTGCACTTGGTCGGGAAACAAACCCCTTCTTTCTTTTAGGCTTCGGCTGGGCCTTGAACTTCTCATTCTTTTGAACCTCCCTTTGGGCTAACCCAAAGTTCAAGTTTTATCCCAAACAGTGCCCCCTTCAATTAATATTCAGGCTAGAATTCCAGGTGCCAATATTGATTGAATAGCCGCATGTCTGTATACCTACTCTCGAAACTCGTGTTTTCTAGACGGGATGAATGCGATCTTGCATCTCTTGCTCTTCTCATGACCTTTGAGCTATCCTCTAAGGTTCCTATAAATTCTTGCTTAAAACTTTTCCTGTCCATCCAACAGATCATCTTCAACCTTCTCTTTTATCATCCTCGAACGTTTCTGCCTTCTCAGTTTTCTTCTAAAACTGGAAAATAGGTTCCTCCGGATTCAATTGAGGTTTCCTAAAACTCCCATTTCGTGAGAAAAAAGATTTTCGTCAAATATCTACTATCTCCAACATCTTTGGTCAAACATCCCACTATCTCCAACACCTTTGGTCAGGCGGTCTCCTCCTGAGGACTTACCTTCCTGCTCGTTGCTTTAATAAGTCGTGCTTCACCATCATATCTGGTGACGATCCTTGATAAGGGTCCTCTATCAAGCTCATCTTGGCTGCACAACCTGATCACTTGATCCTGACCAGGTTTTGTCCATGAAGATACTAGAAAACTAGTCGAGACACCAACACAATGTAGAATGAATGAAACATGGCACATTGAGACTTAATCCGATGTAATTTTTACCAATTCGTCGAAATGAATGAAGCATCATTTTAACAACTTTTATCTTTCTGTCTTCTTCAATGGTTGATGAATACATTGCATTCCAACACCCTAACACCTGCTTTATCTTCCATCTTCTTCAATATAACAATCCCTAACATCCCATAATGTAGGGAAATACCGTTTTAAGAATTTAACATTGATGGGATGTTTCTACCAATTTCCTTCAAGGTCAGCCAAGTAATATCCTCTCTTGTCTAATACTTGACTAGCAATAAAATGACCTTCCCATGTCGGGCTCCATTTCCCAAAGCCCCTAAGCTGAGTTCCTAGAGGGAGGACTGCCTTCCATACTAAATCTCCTTCCTTGAAAGACTTCAGTTTTACCTTCTTGTTATAAGCTCGGGCAACAACTCTCTTCCCTTCCTGAATCTGGTTCAAGGCCTCAATTCGGACTACATCTAAATCTTCAATCCCCTGACACATAGCTTCTATGTACTCTTCACTATGTAACCCGAATTGATTTTGAATCCTGATAGAACTTAGATTGATTTCCATGGGAAGAACCGCATCTTACCCGAATGTCAAAGCATAAGGAGTTGTCCCCGTTCCTGGCCTTTTAGAGGTTCAGTATGCCCATAAAGTATTCCTTAGCTTCGCATGCCATTTTTCCGGGCTATCTATCACCATCCTTTTGATAATGTTTATCAAAATCTTGTTCCTGGCCTCTGCTTAACCATTTGACTGAGGGTAGTAAGGACTAGACTGGATCATCTTTATTTTGTATTTGTTTGCAAATTCTTCAACTTCCTTTGATATAAAAGATGGCCCACGATCCATGACTATGGTTTCAGGCACACCAAACCTGTGCAGAATCTTGGTCTCAATAAATTTCTTAACTGTAACTGAAGTTATGGTCTTTAGAGCTGAGGCTTCTACCCATTTGGTAAAATAATCCGTCGCCATAATTATGAAAGTATGCCCCTTGCTAGAAGATGGATAAATCTGCCCGATGAAGTCCATTGCCCATCCTCTAAAGGGCCAAGGTTTAACCACCGGATTTAAAGGTACTAAAGGCACATGTTGGAGGGGTCCATGCCTTTGACATTCCTCACAGCCTCGGGCATAAGACTTGCAATCTTTTTCTACGTCAGGCCAGAAATACCCATACCTCCTGATTAACCACCTCATCTTCATTCTAGCTTGATGTGCCCCACATATCCCTTCATGTACCTCGGCCATTACTCTCATAGATTCATCTTGGCCTAGACATTTCAGTAGTAGCCCATCAGGAGTTTTCCTTAGTATGTTCTCCTCCCATAAGACATACTTAGTTGCTTGTTGTCTATTCTTCTTGCTTGTGGGTAAAGAAGGATCTTTCAAATGATGAATGATAGGTGATCGCCAGTCTTCCATCTCGGTTTCTAGGACCATTGCATCTAGACTGAATCCCCTTTCTAGGATAGAAGAAAGATTTCTTCTTTGGATCTCGACATCTACTCCATACTTTCGTTCCTGGATTGGTACTCCCGAGGCTATTTGCGCCATCTCGTTGGCCACCAAATTAGATTCCCTGGGAACATGATTAATTGATACTTCAGAATCCCAATAGCTCAACAACTGCGTGGCCGCCAAGTAATACCCAGCCATGGTGATATGTCTGCACTTGTATTCTCCGTTTAGCTGGTTTATCACTAACTTTGAATCACCCAATACCTCTACCTCCATTGCCCCCAACTCTATCAAGATTTCCAAGCCAATTATTAAGGCTTCATACTTTGCCTGATTGTTGGTATTCCTTTGGTAATCTAGAAGGAACGAGTAATAGTGGTGAACCCCTTGGGGATTTATGATGACAATCCCTGCTCCAGAAGCCTTCTGAGTGTAAGAACCATCAAAATAAAGCTTCCAATGAGTAATCCAGAGACTAGTTACCCTTTTTATTTCTTGTTGGACCCATTCTTCTTTGCCCGAAATGCCCTTGCTTGGTGGGATCCAAACATTAATTACTTCCAAGATCTCTAGTACATTGATAATCTCATCTTGAGACTCTTGGTGCTCTGCTAAGAAGTCAGCAATTGTTTGACCCTTGACCGCCCTTTGGGGTATATATTGAAAACTGAACTCTGATAATGCTAGAATCCACTTCTCAATCCTTCCTGTTAGCATTGGTTTTGACAACATATACTTTATCACATCGGTTTTGGCAATGATGTGCACATGACAAGGTAACATGTAATGCCTTAACTTACTAGCAGTAAAATATAGAGCTAGACACAACTTCTCTATGGGGGAGTATCTTGTTTCTACCTTAGTCAGAATTCTACTGAGGTAGTATACTGCCTGCTCTTTTCCGCCTTCATTGTTTTGGGCTAGCTGACTCCCGATTGATTTCTCCGAATCAAAGATATATAGTTTTAAGGGTTTTCCCCTTTGAGGTGGTACTAACACTGGCGGAGAAGTCAAATAGGCTTTAATGTTGTTAAAAGCCTTTTGGTGTAGTGGTCCCTATTCGAAACTTTCTTTATCCTTCAATCTCAACAAAGGAGTCAACGGCTGAATTTTGCCCGCTAAATTGGCAATGAATCTCCTTAAGAAATTAATTTTGCCTGGCAGTCTCTGAAGTTGCATCTTGTTGGTGGACGGAAGTGACTCCATTATTGCCCGAGACTTGTTCTTGTCCACTTCTACACCTCTTTGATGAACCAGGAATCCCAAGAAGTTTCCCGCTCTTACTCCAAACGCACACTTCTTTGGATTCATCTTGAGTTTATGAATTCTCATCCTTGTCAATGCTTGCCTGAGGTCTATCAGATGTTGTTCTTCTGTTTTGGACTTCACCACGATGTCATCAATGTACACCTCCATGTTATGGCCAATCAAATCATGATAAATAACATTCATCGCCCTTTGGTAGGTTGCACCAACATTCTTGAGTCTGAATGACATGACTAGATATTCATATGCCCCCACATGATCGGGACACCTAAAAGCTGTTTTATGTATATCTTCCTGGGCCATCTTTATCAGATTATATTCGGCATTTCCATCCATAAAAGATAAGACTTTATGTTTTGCTACCGCATCTATGGACAGGTCAGACATGGGCATGGGATATTCATCTTTTGGTGTGGCGCCATTAATATTTCTGTAATCAACACAACATCATACTGCTTTTGTTATGGCTTTTTAAATAGGTACAATATTGGCCAACCACTTTACATATTTGGCAGGTCTAATAAATCCAGCTTTCACTAGTCTTTAAATTTCTTCTTTGACATTTTCTTCTATTTCTTTTGACATCCTTCGTGGTGCTTGCTTAATAGGTTTATATCCCTCATTGATGGGCATTATGTGTTCCACCAAGGTTGAATCTAAACCTGGCTCAATATAATGCCAAGCAAAACAATCTTTAAATTCTTGCAGAAGACAGACCATCTTTGCTCGATCATTAGTTTCTAATAAGCCATTGATTTGTATAGGTCTTGGATCTTCCTTTGTTCCTAGATCAATAACTTCCAAAGGATCCTGAACTTCTGGTGGTAGCTTGTCAGGTTCTGCACACAAAAATTCGACGAACTCCGAGCTCTCAGGCAAGTCATCTGGTCCATCCAAGTCATATATGCACTAGGCCATTCGTATGGCCATCTCCAATTCTTTTCCTCAAAGTTCTTCCCTGCTTTCATCCTGGCCAGTCGAAGTTCCTAGCTGCCATTCGTGCTATTCTTTTCCTAAGAGCTCACTTTCTTGTTTTCTTTCTCTCCCATATACCAATAGTCTTTTAATCAGGGACCTGACTGCCGTTACCTGTGACTGCCGTTACCTGATCCTTCCTCTTTTGTTCTGTCATTGATGGTATTGAGGTGTTGGGACGATACAGGGTCTATCACATTCTTCTCCAGTGAGGAACATTCCTTGTTCTAAGAGCTTTTGGGCCGTCACCTTGGTAGGGCGGCCGTTCTTATCTGCTCCTGAACATTGCAGAATTCCTACATTGGGATCGTAGAAATTTTCTTCTGCTATATTGGCTATAGGAAGAAATGGCCGTGAGTCGGCCTCCACCATCTCCCAAAAGCCTGGTCCCCATGTTCCTGCCTCATGGTAAACAACAACTTGTTGATGTAGAGTGGAGGGTATGGCAAGACTTTGGTGGATCCAGTCCCTTTCGAGTAATGCTCCACAGGTGGAAGTACAATCCACCACAAAGAATGCCAGCATGATTTGTTTGGATCCCAAGTCCACTTCTAAAGGTAATATCCCATGAGTTTTGGTAATAGCGCCCGAGAAGTTTGAAACCGTGAGGTCTGTGGGAATGAGATTTTCTACACCTCTTCCTATCTTTTTCATTTGTTTGGCGGGCAATACGTTAACAGCTGCTCCTCCATCAATCAAAACTCTTTTGAAGGGTACCCCCTTCAAATGAGCTGCAACATATATTGGCTTAAGATGGTTGGCTAGCAACATGTTTGGGCGGCTAAACACCATTTTATCAGTATAGATTCTTAACGGACCATTCTGGAATGTCTTGGATGACTCAGCTTTTCCCAATTCTTCGTCTCCGATTACTTCAACGCTAACATGGGCCATCATTGGTTTTGCTGTCAAATAGTCACTTTCCATAGTGGCGGGTTGATCAGGTTCAGCACTAAACATGGCAGATAACACATAAGTCATGTTGATATGGAAAGTACTAGGCTCTGGAAAGTCTTCTTTCTTGCTCCTGATCTGTTCCATAAACTCATCTAACTAAGCTATCGCATCTTCTGGGAGTAATAGTTCGGGTGCCCTCTTCTGTTGATTTATGCCCGAATCTGGTATCTGCTTGGGAACTTTACCAAAAGGATCCAATGATGTAGAAGGGAGCTTCCTCTCAGGCGAAACAATCCCAAAACAAATAAGCTCTGTCCTCTATCCAGGAGTTGGCATCATTATCATATCTTCTTGAGCTCTCCTCAATATCCTGTACTTCCCAGGGTGTAGGCTTTGTGGTACATGGTTTCCTTCACCCTCTGTTTTACTATTAGCCCTGTGCACCTCTTTTTTACTCCTCCAATTAAATTGACTACTTCCCCCAAACGGTGTTTTTTCAAACTTCTGATTTTTGGAGGCTTCAAATGTCGCGGGAGTCTTTAAAGAATTCATGTAGGCTTTATGCTGCCTTTGGACCCTTCTGATCATAGAGGCTCCCATTTGTTTGGTGGGTTGTCCATTTTTCCCGACCACGTACCATTTCCGCCCGAGACAGGCAGGGTTATCCTTTTTGACAGGATTTGTTATCCTATCATTTCTTTTATCTTCTCTCCCTATATGGCCATATTGAGGATGCCTTATCTCCCTCTCTCTTATACCTTTAGCCTCCTTGTCTTCTGCCTCATCAGAAGCTTCGTGATTTCGAAACACTTCTGATAAAGCTCTAGGTTGGGAATCCCCTCTTAACCACTGAAAAACATTTCGGGAAGTCTCTCTCTCTATGTTGTTCGCCTAGCTTTCTCACATGCCTCTTTTCTTTCTCCTTCATCTTTTCTCCTGATTAGTTCATGATCAATGAGGACTCCTGCTGGTGGTACTTCGAGCTCATACTCGCATTGGCATCTACTGCACAAAACCATTCCTTTGATTATGGCTGCTTTCGGATGTTCGGGCAATTTGATCACCCCTTTTATGGATTTGTCAGCTGGCCTTCCTTCTTCTATCTCCTTTGTAACCTTCCTTTTCCCCTTCTCAGCCCATGCTAAATTAATCATATTAATTGGGGCTTCCAAAAAGGAATCTGCATGCTTGTTTAGCATTGTTTCGCCTTGCACCGGATATGGGCTAGGTGGATTGTTTGCCAAGATCTTCTCTTCATATGGCTGGCTGGCCTCCATTTTTCCTCTCTTTTCTCCCCCATCATCTTCCCTCTTAATTAGAGGTAAAGATATGGGAACACTTGGTTTCATAACTAGATCTGTTTTTATTCTGAAGCTTGAGGAGGCATCTTCCAATCTTTGCAACATCTGCAACAAGGTGGTTTGCAAATCTTCAAGTAACTTTGACATGTTTGATCAAGAATCCCACCGGGCGAGCCAAAACTATGTTCAATATAAAGGAATGTCCAGTGAGGACGTTTCCTGCCACCGAGCACACAGCTCCCCGAGAGGTTGGCACCGGTTGATATCGTCTGTCGGGCTTTTGCTTATTGGCGGGCTGTAAGAGAATGACAGAGTTAATTCTGAAAGGTGCATTTATGGGGCCTTAGGTGTAGGCCTTGAGGCTCACAATCAAAATTAACTTTAAATACCCAAGCGTGCCACTGCCATCTTTAGCATGACAGATGTAAAACCGATGTTAAGTTTATTGTATATATATATATGCCTGAGAGACCCAGTTAGTTATGAAAAGTGCCTTTGTAGGGCCTTAGGTGTAGGCCTTGAGGCTTCCGGTCAAAACTAACCGAATACTTGAACACATCTTGGTTGTTTCATTGTTGTAGAAGTATTACACCTGTAATACTTTTAATTGCCCGAGCCCGCATAGCATAATGAATTCAAATAGGTGCCTTTGTCAGGCCTTAGGTATAGGCCTCAAGGCTTCCTATCAGAGTTAATTCTATACTCAAGCGTTCTATGGGAATTATGATATAACAGAAGTAAGATTAGAGAATAAGCCAATTACTTGCGCCCCAAGTAACTTCGGACTTCTTGTTATCACGGATTGTCGTAGATAGGTTAAGTCCACATAAAGTTCTTTTTATGCCTTGAGACCAAGGACTTTTAATTGATCAATCTTGTCTGCTCGAATGGTTGGAACTTAGAAGTCTTTTAATCATAAACTGGCTAGCAATAACTTGGATGCAGATGGAAACATACATCATATTACTAGATATATGAATGAAAGACAAAAACAAAAGAGGTCGGGCAAGGCTGATCGTCTTGCAACTTCCTCTCTTTGTGATTTACAAAGTGTTCGAATGCTAAAAAGGGAGATTGGAAGGTGAGTTTATATGAGGAAATCGATACTACAACAAGATTTAAACAAGGTAGCAGAGCTTTTACAAAGGATTTCTGGTGAAGGTTGATCCCGAACGGGATGAAGACTGGGGGCTGAGCTCTTACAAAGGATTTCTTGTGAAGACCAAAATGGTCAAGGGAGCTCCAGTACATCAACATGTACTGAAGATGATTGGACTC